TTTTTTTCTCGTTACAGGCATGTTGTGTTGCGACGCGAGTCCAAAGCCCATCCGGATATGCAAGCGATGAAGAGCTCTACCAGTTTTGAGGACCGTAAGTCTTTAGAATTAATTTATTGGTAAAAGATCGATGTCGCTCGTTGAATGATGCGTTCCATCGGTTATAACGTTTTGCAGCTAGTGTTGACATATGATGTAACAAGTGGCCCGATATGTTAGTCATCAGAAAAGCATGTTCTCATATTTTTTTCGTCATGCAAATTACCCCTCTCAAAATTTCTTTCTCTGCTGTATCTACCTTCTATCGGTCTATGTAAAATTAAAAAGGAAACACATCGTGTGCTTTCTTTTGCGTCTGACCCGCTGAAGTTTGACAGATGGTTTGGATTAGCAAACATTCACATCGAGACGAACGGAATGTAAGAGGGCTACACTTTCTTCTCACGAGCACAGTTTTTTTTTCGATTTTGGCTAAGCTAGCCCCGTTAGTCAGACTTGAATGAAAGCTATTATTCTTGACTAGAAGATAATCTGCAAGAAGTTATCAATGATAGGGCAGATACTGTAGGTTACAGTAACGCATACAGCTTACAGGCCTTCGTGCAGCTTATCTGGAATTGGGTATATAAGTGAATAAAAATGAAGAATAACGATGACTTATGGTAAGAAAGGTAAAGCTAATGTAAGACGATTTTTGAACATGCGGAGCGGAACCGCGTCGCCGCTTGCAGTTGACGTTTGAGGGGCGTAAAGTGCGGTTGCGCAGTATGCTCTCGTGTTTGAGTTCCACCCAGTGAGAGCAGCGTTGCGTCGCAGGATACACGATACAGTGTGTGTCCTCAAGTGGATGTCCAATGACATACTGCGCTAACGGTAGAGAGTGAAAAGACACATTGCGCAGAGGGAGGTGCACTTTCGGTGGAGAGGCGCGAAATCTTTATTATCTTCTCCGAAGGCGTGCGGATCAATGCTAGCTGATGCTAGCTCGTCGTTATGATAAAACTGGCAAACGTCGTCGCTCGGTAAAGTTCGTGATCGGTAAGTAGTGAGGCGAGAACATCACCGGTGTCAACTCTGCAGAGATTTTCTTTCCCAGTATTATCGTGTTTCAGCTGAATCGAAACTTGAAGCTGAGTACATTCGACGATTCTTGGGACAACTCAGTCCGCTTGAAGAGTCCCGCCTCTGCGAACTCAAGTACGGTCTGCAAGCACACCACAAGGTAATTTTGGCTTCAAACCTACCTCTTGAATTTGTTCTGTGAGGCTCTTAACAACTCCAGGTATATATCTCATTAGCATACGTCAGGTTTGCATCCTCAATTTGCTTATCATGTTGAAATGTACTGATTTCGAAACCATAACATGTCTGTTCAAGTGTTTGATCAGCTGTATCTTGTAGCTTTGTAGTGTCGGGGGTGTATATTTTTATCGCTGCAAATAATCTTGTGAGCATGTGGTGATTAATAGAGGAAGCTCTACCCTTTAGGAGTATTTTCGAGGATGGGCAAAGTTCTACGCTTTAGAAATATTTTCATATACATTTTGACCCCAATTATTTCTACCTTGAGAGCGGTTAAGAAGCTGGGACATGTTTAAATCAAAAATCTCGTCGCTTTCTCTACAGAGCTGTTGCACCTTCCTTCGGTTTTTTGTCAACTCTTTGTTAGTCCTTAGACTATTAGTTACATACCTTATCCCGTGAAAGAAGTTCTATTTTTTGTTTAGGGCAAACTACCGAATGATGCGCATTTACTACGATTTTTGCGCGCAAGGGATTTCGATGTCGCGAAGGCGAAAGACATGGTCTATAATAGCATCATCTGGAGAAAACAGCACAATGTGGACCGAATTCTACAGGTAAGTTGCTGAAAACTGTAGAAGAATTTTGACTCAAGTCTTACTTGTAGGAGTGGAGTCCACCGCCGGTTATGATGCAGTTTTTCCCAGGATGTTGGCACCATTGTGATAAGGTCACTTTTAGCAGCTCTGAATTTGATGATGTATCTAATTTGTGAATATCTTAGGAGGGACGACCGTTGTATCTGCTTCGGCTTGGAAATCTGGACACGAAAGGTCTTTTGCGATCATGTGGACTGGAGAACATCGTCAAATTGACGCTGTCTGTTTGCGAAGAGGGTTTGATAAAGACGGCTGAAGCCACTAAGCAGATTGGAGCACCGATAAGGCTAGTGAGAATTGTGAAATTTCACCAAAATGATAGAATGCGGGACTTTTCCATGGGGTTGCTACATCTGCAAGAACAGGAAGCACAGACAACGCTTTTTGCTAAAAACTCGATGATGCCGTATCTTCGTGGCTTCCGCGCTTCATCTTCCGTTAGTGTGTGTCTGCTCAAGAAGTCAAATAGGGAAATCGGCCTCGAAGTTATCCGTAATGTAGGGAGCTCTTAAACTTTCTCATAATCACTCTCTTGTCATCTGTTTCTGACTTTCACTAAATTCATCCTGAAATATTGTCTGCGCCATATAGGTCAGTGAAAGAATATTTTTTCCTTTCATTGTGCATACGGACCACTCTTCTTTCACATTTCGGTCTCATTAGTGTAATATGTCATTACTG